CCACGGCTCCCTCCTGCCTGTTACTGCTCATGCCTCGCTTTGGAAAGGACTTCAAAATGTTTGACGCCATCCTCCCCACCCTCAGCCTGGACATCACAGACCTGCTGGACGACAGTAAGGGCCATTTTGGGGGGAAATAACCAATATTTTAGCAGCATTTTAGTTTGTTATTTGAGTATAGTGGTGCAGTGATGACGTTTCCTCACGGATTTTGTAATTGTAAGATCTTTGGCAAACACACATTTCTGATTTTTGGAGCGTAAATGCAATCACAAGAAGTAAAAAGCTAACGTTGGCTTCAAGACAAGGAACCAGAATTAGTCAAAAGCTGACTCATCCGAGCTTCAGGACTCATTCCTGCACCACTCTATTCAGATCAGCTTTTAGTTTGAATCAGATGAATGTATTTAAGTGTCACCTGTGCAGAAGACCTGGCTACATTCACATGGCTTTGTGTGGACTTCATCTAGTTTCCTTTTTAACCGACGTGTGTTTTGTCTCTCTGTGTCTCCCCAGCTCTGAGGCAGTGCAGTATCTGTCAGGCTGTGGCTGAGTGGGAGTGTCTGCAGTGTTACGAAGACCCCGACATCACCCCCGGGCGTCTCAAACAGTACTGCAGCACCTGCAACACACAGGTACCCACCTCTAACCTGAGACTCTAACAAGAAGGATTTGCAGGTGTAAAGGATATGATGTGCTCCAGGACCAATACATGGGCAAACTACTGGATCCTGTGCATTCATGACATTCTGGTTCTAAATGACATTATATTTATTTGTGTTACTTATTATTTTTAAAGCCTTTGTGGCTGCAGTGGATTGTTTGTTTGCTGACGTTATTTGGAGTGTGTTTTTGTATTTTTGACCAAACAATAAGGAGGTTGATGTGGAACACTTACCCTCTTATGTCTTAATGTTTCTATAATAAGGTACAATAACATAGAGACAAGAAGCATATCATGTGTATTTCTCTCCTCAGGTCCACAGTCACAGGAAGCGTGCGTCCCACCACCCTGTAGATGTTGCTGTCCCCGGGGGTCCGTGGACCGGCCCCCTGCTGAGCGCCCGGCAGCGGATGTCTCTCTTTGCGGTGACGTGCATCGAGACCAGCCATTACGTAAGCTTCGTCAAACACGGACCCCTCCCCACCGACTGGATGTTTTTTGACAGTATGGCAGACCGGGAAGGTAAGAGACCCTCACTGAAGTACATTACGATTAGGGCTGTCAAGTTAACGCGTTAATAAAAAGAGAATTAACGCCACTAATTATTTTAACGTGATTAACGCATGAGTATTTATTTATTTTTTCTCGGCCACCACGTAGTTTCAGAGCGCATCGAGTTTAAAATACCATCTACAAGCTGATGCTGACAGCCCCGCTCCTGCCGCCCGCTTGTGGGCATTTGTATTGTATTATTGTATGAGAGAGGTTCCAGGTTGAATTGAGGCGAATATTTGTAATGTTCAGAGGTTGTTGTGTTTAATATTCATGAGAATATTTTGTCATTGTTCAAATGATAATGAACATTAGCATAAAGCATATTTGTCCACTCATGTTGATAAGAGTATTAAAAACTTGAAAAATATTCTTCTAAGGTACATTTAGAACAGATCAAAAATGTGCGATTCATTTGCGATTAATCGCGATTAACTATGGACAATCATGCGATTAATCGCGATTAAATATTTTAATCGACTGACAGCCCTAGTTAATAGTAGTCGTGATCATGGGTGGTGAATGTATCTCATCACATACGCATGCACACCTAACTAATCCTTCTCTGCTGACAATTTAGATTTTAGTTATATCTTGCAGTCCAGTGATAACTGACATCATAATTTGACGTGACCCAATTGTAATTTAGACAATTATCTGTTGGAGTTGTTGTATAAATCAGACTCACACAATATGCTTTCCCACTCTCTGTGCAGATGGTATTTCTAGTGTCATACAATTTTATGACATTGAAATGACAATAGCATTACAAATAAAAGCATTTTGGCAAGGAGTAAACAACATGACATTTTGATTTAATAAATGCAAATATATGTATTAATTTGTCAAGGAGAAAGAGTGGTGCTTCCAGTTTAAACCCTTAAAAATTACTTAGTGTTGGATTACTGAGGAAATACTGTACATAAAACATGTTTCATTTTGGCAGAGCCAACAGATAAGTGTGCAGTTACAGTAATGCTGGATGCACATCAACACAATGGTAAGTTTTAGCATTTGTACTAAAATAAATGCAAAGTAGTCAAACAGAACCATCACATGGGAAATGTTGTATAAAACTATACCATATGTGGTTTGCTGATTTAAGAAAATACAAACACATATTTAATTATATTCTTGTTTGGCCAAGTGGGTCAACTCTCTCTGCATGGCTGAAAGGATTGAATGGGGCATGAGTTTATGAAAAAAGGCAATAAGGGCAGGAGGTCATTCGGACAGATCTAGGGAGGATGAAACAAAACACAAATGTAAAAAAAAGGCTAGAATACACCCACGCCGCCTGATCCAGGGGCTGTGCAGAAAAAAGAAAACATCACGGGACCATCTCTTTGAAAATTGAGGCATTTTAATGTTTTTAGAAGCTATAACTGACCAGGGGATTATTGAAATTGGGCACTGCCTGGGCAATCTTGATTCCATTCCCATTGATGAAACCACTACCAACCAAACATAAATGCACAAACGCCCACATAACATGCAAACAAAAAACCAAGAGGGATAATAAAAAGCATAGACAGATTGTATTTCAAGATAATGCCTACAGGGTCTTTATTTTTGCTGTTTGTTGTCCACTTGAGATTGCATACACTGCCCCTATACATCACAGTTTGGCTACAATCTAACATAATAGCTGTATTATTTTATTCAGCACAAACAATAAACCATGACATCTTCTGTGGACATATTTTTATTCTGGAAGACTGACTGCAGGGATTTATTTTCCAAAATGTTGTGAAGCCAATATTCCTCTGTCCAGTGATAAACACTACTGACACATTGCTCTGTGAGCTTGGCAATCCAACATTATTTGTTTGTGAGCATTCCAAGAATTACAGCCCAGAATCAAGCCAGCCAACTTAACATTTGCCAGAAAAAGGCAATGAGTGTCAGTGTGGCTCCTTTTGTCCTACTATTTCACTTTGGTGACATCCTTTATCTGAGGTTTCTCAGTGAACTAACAATTTGCCCTTTTCATTTGACAGTTTCTCTCTTATATTTCGCCTTTTTTGAAGAGTATTTTACACATACCAAAAAAATATATACACAACCCTCAAGGTGTCAAGATCAACCCTTTGTCATCCTCTAAGAGGGATATCATGCTACATGTTTGGTGACATGTGCCATTAATTTCCCAAGCAAGGTCAGACTGTTGTTTGCCTTTCCTGTGTTAGCAACAGATTTGATATAAATGGCAACAATCTGTGGGACAGCTGTACAGAGTAGTTGTTTGTTGACACTGAGTCTGTGTTGTTTTCTCCTTTCTGCCACAATCACCTTCTGAAATCATTCATCATAGAGCTGTTATTAACTTTTTGCCTTTAGATATAGCTCTCTCTTTGTGTCTCTTACCCAACACTTTGTGCTATTGATCCAGACTGTGGCACCCCTCTCTTAGTGTCAGGGCTGAACATGGGATCATCGGCCTCTCAGGTTTCTCTCTTGTGTTTACAAACACACCACCGACACACACATGCACAATGTACACATGCGCAAATGAAAACACACAATGTCCTTCTATGGCTTAGTACCACAAGAGGTTTAACTTTTATTGGCTTCTATGCCTTTTTTTATTCTGGGAACAAGGTCAAGCCTCATCAAATTTAACCTCAACACCAGCCTCAGATTAAAGGTCGTGACTTCACCCTTCACATATTTCTTGACCTCTGAGATTACTATGTCATAATACATCAGGATTAATGCTTTACCTCTGGACCTTCTTATCTTATACCGCACTGGTCCTATTTCATTTATAGGATCCCCACTCCCTGCTCTGCTCTTTACTGTGTGTGTGGAGTGTCCTGTATTCCTCGAATCACCTTGCACTTGGCGGCAAGCTCAATCTCAATATCATGTTATCGGACTCAGGGGCCAAGGATATAAATACTACGCACCATAACTCTCTCCTGTTCAATAACCATTATATGCTCTACTTTATACATTAGAAGCACCTGATGGGGCAGTAAATTCACAGCTGCAGCTAGACCATCTCAGAGTGCATCCAGAAGAAAAAATGGATGCTGAAACCAGGGAAAGAGTGAAATCGAAAGTGGAAATGGAAAAAAAAGGAATCAAATGGAGGGATAAAGTAAAGAATTACAGAGGAAAGCATGAGATGCTGAAGGTGACCCAGTGATCGGGCAGCTGTATACAAGATGCAGCGAAAAAGAGCTGTGGGGGGGGGAAATGGGGAAACAGCTAGAATGAACAGTTTTTTATTTGCTTTGCTTTCTCACTCAAATATCTATTGTATTTCTAAAATAAGCTGTAGACATCCAATGAATCATGCGTTCCATCTCCTAAAGCTACTCTTAGTCCTGCCTAGCCCTGCAGTATGAGCTTTCACACAAAAGGTTCATGTTCCTCATGCTGAGACTATTTCAACAGCACCGCCAGCATCTTTTCACTTTCCAAGGACAACAATCAAAGGAAACGTATTTCCATCTAACTCTACAGCCTACACTGAACAGACCATGGAAATGGTAATAAATGTCCACCCTCAAAACCCAAAACACACTGCCTACAAGTACACACGCATACACACAAACGCCATTGTTTACCACATAAGCATGACTGGATGCAGCATAGACTCAACGCTTCAATGCACTTTTTCATTTGGAAAGCTAGGGTGGTTACCCACCGAGCGAGAGCTGATTAAGAAAACAGTCCCATTTAATTCCTTTCTCCTCAACGGCCAGCAAGAGAAATGTAATTAAAGCCACTAAATCTCCCATGGGCACTACTACCTGCGACACGACCAACATGACACGTTGTGTAATTCGCTCGACCTACAAAGGCGACGGCAGTTATTTGCCTTGGTTGCAGGGCGAGCACGGGCCTTTGAATGAGACAGCCAAAGAAAAAGAGAAAGAGAGATGGAGAGAGAGAAGATGAGGGAGGGAAACATAAGAAGATAAACCTGTGATACAGTGGCTCGGAAGCTGACCTTTGGTGGAGGCCCAAGGACACTTGACAGCCTTCACATGAAAAGAGGCATAATGAACATCCGCACAGCCGCAAACACTCAAACATGATACATGGCACAGCCCAGCCTTCAGGCCTATAGCTGAATGCATCACAACGTGTGTAATGCAACAACATTCATCAAATCCATTCACACAAGCATATCATAATTCTAGGGTAAAGCGAAAACAAATGTGATCTAACAACACAGTCTAGCATTTGATTATCAGCAGTCTTTTTCCCATAACTTCTAATGCAATAACCGGTGTCATTGATGCAACTGTAAAGCAGATGTTGATGGCCATTTTGAGACGGATTATTTAACCCATTTTATTATAGAAAACAACTGACAAAGAAGTTTTACAATGTGCCCAATAACTTCCTACATTATAATTAGATTAAAAGAGCATTGCATAGGACGTTTTGTGTCAGCATTTTATCGATGTCTCAAAGGGAATAGTAATTGTCCTTTTGACTTTGTGGAGATGTGAGTCTATGTGTGTACTACGTCTGAAGCCAAGCCTTTTACCAATAACATTCATGCAACTATGTTTTTCAGCAATTTTGTTGTACCAATGCGGAAAATGTAGAGGTTCTGGTAATGTGCTGGGATGGTGTACTGGTTTAACACCCAACTCATTATAGCAGCCAACATTTCATATCTATTTTCTTATCCTGAATGCAAGCTTTTCCAATTTATACCAAGTGATTTCAGAAACCCAACCTTAACAATACTTTATTGGAATGGAAGAATATTCTAGGACAATCCACATTTTCCAGCAACATTACATTCCTTCCAAAAATGAATCGTTAATATGAAATTGTTTGCAGATTTAAACTTTATTAACTGGACGTTGTCATTCTTAGAATCAACTAAGGTCACTGTTAAGGTCCAAAGTCACTCTGAAAACTGAAAAAAAAAAAATGGCCGTTCATTAAAAAATATAAAGTACTGTATGTAACATATTAATTGCTAACGTATTTGCAGCAACTAAGTTGTTACGTATGTCC